TGCAAAGTTTGGCTTAAGATCAGGTGGCATGAGGAATACATAATCTGCAATATCCCTGATTGGGCGTAAAAGGTTGATGGGTCAAAGTACAGACTATCTTCATATATCAATCCCTTAAGGCCCGTAAAACAGTTATATACTGCAATCTTATCTCTTCCTGTACCCTCTGTTTTCTCAGGCTGTGTGTATTTAATTCCCTTAACTTCCCTCATAGTCCTTTCCCTCTAAATGTGGTTAATGAAGCAAATAAAAGGCAAACAGAATAAGAGATTCCCTGGAAAGAGTTGTTTCTCTATGTCCCGTGGTTACTGAGGAATGACATGAGGATCTAAGGCAGCAGCACTGGTCAATTTCACACTCCAGGTTTTCAATTTCATTTTGAGGCCTGTTTGGGGCAGGGAGAAATTTGAGTGTAATTAATTCAAATTTTGTGAGACAAGTATCTGCTCAGGGTTGTAATAAAGGTCTTGCCTGCTCCAAAACCAAGAAACTAATCTTCTCGTCTGGCTGGGGATGGCACAAATTGATTTAATACTTCAGGGTTTTTTTATGAGTTATAACAACTATTACAATAAAAATAGTTTTTCATTGTTAATTACTAGACCTGGTCAGAGAAACTTTGATGGAACAATTTTCCATCAGAGAACATAGTTCCAGCATAACTGAAACACTTTGCAAAATCATGTCAAGTACCCTGAAATTTCACTTTAGAGGGAGGGGGGAAGAGGAAAGTAGTTCTGAGAATGTTGAAACATCCCATTTCAATATGTTCTGAATGAAATGGTTTGATTTTTCCTTTCAAAATGACTTTTTGTTCCTTTTTTTATTTTGTATTATATTATTTATAATAATATATTGGAATTAAGTGTGTTAGCATCAGGAAAAGCAAACAACAAAACTGTGTGCAAGAGACTATATATAAAAGTCACACACACACACACCTCACACGAAATGGACAAAAATGCAGAGAAACCCAGTAAAAATAAATATTACATACAAAATCTAAATTAATGCAATATTAATTATGTGAATTTGAACAAAAGCAGTTAGGCAATACAAAAGTTAAGGTTCCATCAGCATAATTAATTCTGCCATGTTACATTTAGTGTTTATCATATATGCAGGAGTGAAAGTAGGGCAGTACTCTCCAATATGCAGTACTGGCAAGAGATTTTTAGCGGGCACGAAAAGACTTGGGGCTAGGGCCGCCCCCTGGAGGGGAAGGGGGTGGGGCTCTGCTCTGCTCCTTAAAGGAGCAGAACACAACTAGGGAGGGCATTCATTCTTTAAATGGCTTTAACAGCACAATACATATGCTAACAAACTTAAACAAAGGCTTTGTTTAAGTTTGTTAGCATATGTATTGTGCTGTTTGGTCAGGAGTCCTCAGGAGGGAAGGGGTAGGAGGATGGAAGGTGTTTAAACAGTGTTTTTGATCCCGTTTCTCCCCATTGGTCTGAATTATCCATGACATCCATACTGCATCACATCAAGGCCAAATCATTAGAGGACTGCCTCTGCTTGCACTGACCAGCAGATGTTTGGATTCGGATGTCAGCCCAGTTCTGCAGCCTGACGGGAATCAGGTGTTGTCCCCAGTATACACAGAATTCTTCTTTGCAGCCAAACTAGTCTAACATACATTTTGTTAACTGGAACTGGAGCATCAAAACAAAGAAAACAAATGCTTCATTTTCCAGCTTTGTGGGTGAGAGAACTAGAAGTGAAGATTATAATGTCGGACACTGATGGCCTTAAACCAGCTGCCTCAGGAATCTGCCAAGAACTTTGCTGAAAATATGTTCCTCATCTTAGCAACGGAGCTAAGACTTATCACACATCTGCCGACCTTTATTCAAATGAAGCTCCTCCTGATTTGACAGCTCAGGCATTGTCAGTTTCATCCAGAACAATTTACAAACTTGGAATCTAATCCTGTAAACTTTAATCATTTGATCAATCCCATTGAAGACAATAGGACTATTTGCATTAGTATGGACCACTTCTGTGGACTGGTAAGAGTTTCAGGACTCTGTTCTGTTCGTATAAAAGAAGTTGAATCTCCCATTGAAATATAATGTTTGGGTACAACACCATAATGCAGTTTAGGATACAGTTCTCCTTAAAATTTGTCTTTTAATAAGTCATACATATGCTGAAATGGCTCCTCACTCAACTCCCATATTCCATATAAACAGACTGAATACTACGTATTTGGGGGGAAAGTGAGTAGTTAAGCATGTTGATGTTTGTATATACAAAGGGGGGTGTTGGAGGTGATGGGGAGAGCGTGGGGACCCCGGGCTGGGGGAAGAGTGGGGAGGAGTCACCTGCCCCCCCTTGTGTCCCTCCCATGAGTGCAGTACCAGCAAGAAATGATTTCTACTTGCACCACTGCATCTATGTATCAGTCTAACCAGTGATAGATATAGGTATAGATATGCACAATGTAGCAGAGTCAGTCTTATGTTTGGAAATTTACTTTTTTTATTTCCTGCCTTTTTTAGCTCATATTTTTCAATTTAATGTTGCACTAACATAGGTTTTTGCATTTGGACACAAATTTGCTCTCCGAGAGGCGACACAGTGGGGGACATGCAGGTTCGAGTGCCCCCACCCCAGCAGCCTGCCTGAGCGGGAAGTGGAAGGGATGGGGCCAGATCCTCTTCCGGCCGTGCTGGGACACTGCCTGGTGCAGCACATCAGCTGCCTGGGGACTTACTTACCCTGTTCAAAAGCTGCACATGGGAAGCTTGGTAAAAGGGATTTTTACATTCACTGGGCCCCATCTTTAAGTCCCCTCATGGTCCTACCAGAATTTCCCATAGAAGTCAATGGGCAACATACAATAATAGGACGACATTACTCTGCCAAGGAAAGATCTATGGAAGGGTAAAAACTCTTCAGACAACTCAGTGGACCAAATTCTGCTCTAAGTTACACCAGTGTAAATCTGATCTGATTGCACCACAATCAATGGAGTTACTCTGAATTTATACTGGTATAATCTTAAATTGGAATTTGCCCCATCAAGTTTAAACTCACAATTTTTAAGTGCTTTGGGCCTGGTGGAGTCATCTGTACTTATGCAAAATGACTGTATAATGCCACCCTTCCGTTCTGTTAGTGTTTTACACCCATTATGCACAAGTGTAGATGACTGCACGAGGTGCAAGGCAGTGGATAATCAAGGCCACAGAGTTGTTGCCCGAGTTTCCTCTCAGATGGAAAAGGCTTGGGGGCTATTGTACAGAGAGCTGGGCAAAAGGGGGGTGGGGAGAAATCCTTTGAGAGTCATTTATTCAGCAATTATTTTTTATTGAATCAATTACTTGCTGAATATCACTTGTCCATTTCTAAAGCTGATCAAAGACTGAGAAACATATTTGTGATTAATTTAGTCCCAAAAATGAAAAAAAAATGGAAAAAAATATTCACAACAAAAAATTCAGCCCACCCAAATTCCACAGTCTAATAAAACTCACTCCAAGGAAATGTTTCCTTACTATCCAGTTTAAGTCCCCTCCACCCTTATTCAATTATATCCAATTATGTCTTGTCTCTCTCAGATCCCCTGAAAGGTGACCTGCAAAGGAATAAAATGGCTTGTACTCTTGTTTGCTTTGTGATGTAAAAAGAAGACCCGACAGGGTTTTGTCAAAAAAGAATTGTTGGCCCAGATTCTTCCTGGCACCAAGATATAACTCCAGCTACACTGACTCTATACCAGTTAAAAGATCTCCCAAGCTGGGGGAATTCTCAGCTGAGCAGAACAGTCTAGTCAGAGCAGGGTCAAACCTGAGGCTGGAAATAGCGGAGAAGTTTGTAGTCAAGTTCCAGGATGGGGTCGATACCAAGGATCGGAGGCTAAGTCAGGCTTCAGGATCCAAGTCAGGAGGCAAGATTCAAATCAAGCCAAGGTCAAAACCAGGAGTTCAAGAACAGGAATGGTTGTGGAAGCCACAGGAAACCTACACTGTTGCCTGGACAATTCCTAGAATGCCTCTTGGGTTTATAAGGGGTAGGGAGCCAATCAGGAGCCATGAGACTGCTGTCTGTCAGACCCCAAGAGCTGGGACTTCCCCTGGTCTATATCCAGAGCAGATCATGGGTGACAGCATGGAGATATCCACTACCTAGTAACTCTATAGGGACAAGTTTGAGACCTGCCTTGCAGTTCAAAGGGAATCAGGCCTGCTGTTTTTTCACATTCAACATTCAGGTCTTGTCTGCAATGGTATACAATGGTGACTGAAGAATTAGTGAAATTATGACAATACAATACAAGAGAATGAAAGATGTGCAATTGAAATTAGAAGGGGTTGTTAGCCAAACTATTTTGGGTTTTTTTGTATGGGGGAGAGGGATTGGTTTTATGTTTTGATACTTTGGTTAACACCTATTTAACCCAACAACTAATGACCACTTTGGAGAGAGGATGGTTTTATTAAAGTTTCAGCACTTGTACTCTTTCCATTAAAATGTGAGAGTTCATAGTAAACATCCCTGAGATCCCCAAGTGATTCTCCAGCTAAACGAGTGAAGGCAAAAAGTAAAAAACACAATGGTCATAAATGGTCACAATACATCATAAAAAAGAATAAAATATTTTAATCCTTTGCAGATCCCTTTTAGCAACTCCCTTCTCTCCTTGATCTTTGTATGCTTCATATAATTCCTGAAGAATGACCTGAAGAAGAGCTATGCGGAGCTCAAGAGCTTGTCTCTTTCACCAACAGAAGTTGCTCCAATTAACAAATATTATCTCACCCAGCTTGTCTCTCTCCTATAATTCTACACAGTTAGCATTTTTCCTATAGATGGGAATTCAGCCACACTATACACACTAAGCTTTTTTAATCTCTCCTTGAAAGTGACTCTCTCCACGCACATAATCATTTGGCCAAGTGAGATTCCATCTGCAGACCACTGGCTAGGTTATTTCTCAGGATACTAAACCCCACTTTCCTGATCTGTAATGGAAGAAAGCCAATTTCTACCTTGTCTGCCATGATCATGGAGGAGCCTCCGTGGATGCCAAGGATGGGCGTGAGAGTCTGGGCAGAAATGAAGTCCAGGATCTGAGCAATGGCTTCCTGGTCTGTGTCATCAGCAAACACCACACCTTGAACCTTCCGGTCTGACATGAGGTCACAGATGCGAGTGATGATGCTCTTGGGATCTGTCTCATTCATGGCCACCAGTTCGACTCGGGGCACCACTGAGAGGTGGTGGAAGTCATCTTTCTCGTGGGCGTCCTTGATGGCCACTTCGTCTGAGGTCCCCACCAGGATGACAGCAACGCCGATACTGGGGTGGCTCTTCTGGGCACGGGCCGCACCACCCGTCGTCGCTAGGATTGCCAGCACCAGCCAGAACTTTGGAGAATAACACTCCGCCCTGGGCCTCATCTTCAGCTCTTACACTCCCTGAGAAGAAAAGAGAGAGAGAGAGAGAGAGAGAGAGAAAAGGAAGAGATGAAATGATTACATGATTAAATGAGGTACACAGAGGTCTTCCGGGGGTACCATCAACTCATCTAGATATTTGCCTAGTTTTACAACAGGCTACATAAAAAGCACTAGCAAAATCAGTACAAACTAAAATTTCATACAGACAAT